GTGGAGGGCCCAGTCATATGGTCCATCAATAGTCATGTACCTGCTTTGTCCATGTGGGTTTCCGCAATGCAGCAGGAAAAAGTGAAGCAGTTAATAGGAAAACGTGTGAATAAAACACCAAAAAAAGGCCACAGGAATTGCAGGGCAGGTGTAGGATGTGGGATGAGTGACTCTCTTTTTGATACTCTTGGTCTGAAGCTGTGCTGTACTGGTTTTTTGATCAAGTTTTTGATCCTTTTTGTGTTGAATATCTTGGGATTTTAAACAAAGCTTTCACAGTTTCCATCCTGTTGTTGAACTTGTGTTTTTGTTTTCTCAGCTGACTTGAAGAAAGACTTAGGTGAATATGTTAAAACTCAGCTTCCCAAAACCACAAAATTGGTAAGAAATGAGAAACGGGAAGGCTTGATTCGAGGAAGGATGATTGGAGCCTCTCATGCCACAGGTATACTTCCTTGTTTCTCTGTTCCTTACATACTTTGACCATAAGTTAATTGGGTGACTTCTCATTCTGCAGCGCAGCTCTTTTAAATGTTGAATGTTTGACCTGTGCTTGCTTTAGCCCACCGTAGGGACTCTGCATGTCGTGCCATGTTCTAAGCTACACAACTTAGCACAGGGGAAGAAAGATTTGGGGTAATGCTATTTTAGGTGAGAGACATTTTACCAATTGTTTCGGAATATCAGTGACTTTGCAATGAGTTAATTACATTGATCTTTGACTGTCTTATTAACGTATGTCTCAAGACCTACACAAAGTGTCTTCAGTAATACAGAGACCTTAACTAACATTACCTGTGCATTTAAATGTTTATATCATGCAGTTGATCATGGTCTTTATATAGTTTCCTCCAGTGTTTCCTCATAGCTTTACTGAATTAGTCCTCACCTGAGGTTTTTCTGTTACTCCATGAGAAAGAAGCAAGGAGGACTTGGTACTTGCTTATACATAAATATAGAGTAGATATAATAATTTCACTGCTTTATAGTTTGTAATTAAATTTAGAAAATCTGTGCTGTGTAAGAAGGGGAAGATGTTTTTTCAAGATACCCAAACAATGACTTTGCGAATTTGGAGCCAGATTTGAGTGTCTTTTAAACCTTGTCTGACCTGCTGGTTTGTGTTTTGTTCCCACCCCCCCCTCCTGTGAACATTTGCTTTCAATAAAATGAGCTAACTTTTTAGAATGGGTCAGTGAAATAGTAAAACAAAACCAGTATTTGATAAAATGTAGTGAGGCAATGTAGAATTTTCCCTATCCATGCCCTGAAAGAATGTTGTCTCAGGAACATCTCCATCTGCATTAGATATGTGGTCACAGAATATTTTCTGCAATTTTTCATGTGAAAACTTGCTCTAAAATGGCAATCTGCTTCCTTATTCCTTCTAATCTGGTTTCTAATTCGCCAATCTAATTGTAATGTTTGTCATACAAGCTTTTCTGTTGTTGCAGTGTGTTAATTGGGATAAATAACGTTTTGTGCTTTATGTACGCTGTGTGTGCCTTTTACCATAATACACTTTTGGTTAAATTCTTTTGCGTCTGAGAAAGTATGTGCTACTTTCTCAAATAATTTTGAGTGGCCAATAAAGTCTCTTAATTGGAGTTTACTCATTAGCATTGTAATGGCATAATCCAGGGAGAAAATTGTGCTTTCACTTTCCAAGCTGTGCTAGGATTCGAGTTAATGCAATTTTAAGTCATTTTATTGCTCTTCTGAACTGCTGGAGTCTTTTTCTCTTTCTTCTTTTTCTCCTCAGTCAAATACTGTCTGTTGTTAATGGGTGACTCATTATATTTGTACGTTGCAAAGTTTGTTTTCTTTAAAGCTCTTTCCAGTTATTCTAGTGTTAAATAGAATAAACATAAAATTTATGTTATGTCATAAGAATTCAGATGACTTTTTAGACCAACTCAACCTGAAGGTGTCTTATGGATCAAACTGTCCTCTCTGACCATGGTGGATAATCCCCATGTAAATTGATCAGACTGAAGCGTTGCTTGGTCTAATACTGGATTTGGCTTTGCCCATGAACATTCACTCTCCTGTTAAACTGGTATGAATCCACAATCACTCTAGAGCTAATGAACTGGGGAGATGCTCTATGTTACTTTATATTCAGGAATTGAAACGTTGTGGCCTTTGTCATGGATGACTGCAGATTAATTAATCGGAATGACTTGGTTTAAAGTCCACAGATCTTAGCTGCATCAGTAACTGGATGGATGCTGAAGTGTGATATGAAGCGAGCCCAAGCTGATGACAGTCAGTGGAGAGAACCAGCTTTGTCGTGGGGATAATTCATCCAGCCCAGTATCTGTGATCTCTGGCTGTCTCTGTAGCCTAACTCAGGTGTGGGAGGTGCTCTGCATTAGGGCAAATGCACCGCCTGACTCCGAGGGCTGCTCTGATGATGCTTCCTTTAAAGTACCGTAGCTCTGCTCAGTCTGGGTAGAACACGTGACTACTATAAAACCCTGTCAAAGAAATGCAAATAACAGCCCCCATGAGCATTTCATAGCTAAATAGGATCTACCTTCTGCCTCTGTGACTGAACTAGTCCCTGTGGAGTCTCTGGTTTGTCAGCGTTTCCAATGCAGATGGTGTTTCCCCACTGTTACATAGGGTGCTGAGGATGCGGATGATATAATTGCATATGTGTTTGTGTGTTTCACCTTACCACGGATCTTTGTGTTTTGTGTGCTTTGGCCACTGCAGGGAAAGTGCTGGTGTTCCTGGACAGTCACTGTGAGGTGAACGAGATGTGGTTACAACCTCTGCTGACTCCCATCAGAGAAGATCGCAGGACTGTGGTGTGCCCTGTGATTGACATAATCAGTGCTGACACACTTGCCTACAGCTCTTCCCCAGTTGTGCGTGGAGGGTTTAACTGGGGCCTGCACTTTAAGTGGGATCTTGTTCCTTTGTCAGAACTGGAGGGACCCGAGGGGCCCACTGCTCCGATCAAGTAAGGCTCCTCCTGCATGGTGTGAAGCTCTGTGTAACATATGGATGACCAGAAGCACTTCTTAAGCATTGTGGAGTGTATCTGGGTGTGCAGTTCTAGAAGCAGATGCCTAACCTGTCAAATGTCTGACTTGTTTATTTTACTTAGAAATAATACCGGTTACTCTTAGCCATTTCGGTTTAATTTTTCACATTTCATCATAAATTAGATATATCTGTCTTATTAGCTCAAGAAAGCACACTTTTAGAGAATGCTTGTACAACAGCAGCTTTTGCTAAAGACAAAACTCTTAAAAAACTTACACTATTCTGTATTAAATCTATCCAATAATTTAACTTTTGAGCTATGCATTGATGTTTGTTTCCAGTCTGTCATTGCATTTGGCTTAATGATGATTTTGATAATCGCCTTTGTTCTGGTAATAGCCTGCATACCCCACTAACATAGGCTCTATAGTTTCTGTGATGAAATGCTTAAGAATTGCTAGATTAGGAAAATATATTTTTGTGGTAATAGGAAGATGGTTTCGTAGTTGATGGGAGAGAACATCAGAGCATATGGTAATTTTCTATGTCAGTATTATTTTTTTGCTTCAGATTTCATTTATATTTGTCCTCAAACAAGCAACTATTTTGTCATAAAGCTTTCTAAATGAACACACATGGATGTGAAAACCATCTTTAAAATATTACTTGTCCCTTTGTACAGTGTGGCAAATGCTAAAACTGTCTGCTTGGAAGCCTGTCCATATTGTTTTTGCAGTCTGAATTGCTTGAGAGTCATTCTGAAATAAAGGTCTTGCTATAAAGCTTACAGTAAGACTTGAAAGTTACCTTCCTTAATCTTTTGACCATTGATGGCTGTCTTGCCTGTACAGAACTGGCAATATCTGGTTACTACTGGACACGTAACTGTTACAAAATGATTTGACTAGACGCCTTTTTTCAGCAGCAGACACATATGGTTCAGACATGAGAATAGAAGCTGTCCCAGTGTGAATCTGTTCATGAGAAGGGACAGTGCTGGTAGAGCAGTGCCAAGAAGCTGATTGTGCTGCTTCTACTTGCAGGTAACCATCTCACTACAGAATTCAGGCTTGTAAGGTGGAAAAACTTTACCTTTTTTACAAACTGACTCCTTGCAGAGAATGTGGTACTTTTATAAGATTTGCAAAGTGAATCAGAAGTTGGGCAGTCTCATCTCGCTTTCATTCTCTTTTCTTGGACTGTAAATGAAGAGCATTTCAGGCTGATGCAAGCAGCTCCAGCACAAGGTTCTCTGCTGTGGTCTGACAGCTCTGCAGTTAGTCTTTCCGTGTCTACCCATCACAAGATTTGGTCTGAGAAGCCAGGAAAATCCTTAAGTTACTTAACAGTTTGACTGGCTTATTTGGAAGGTGTTACTGTGGCAGTTTCTGAAGCTAGAAGGGAAATGACAGGCTGGGAAAATCTGAATGGGGAACCAGCATAGACCATCTTAAAATCCTTATTCTGTTAAGAGCTGTTCTCACAGTTAATCTGGGGCATGCCTGAAGGTTAGTTCTTCCTGTGTTCAACACCGTTGTTGCATTCCTTCAACTCACTTTTAGGAAAAACTCTGATGGAAAAGGCAGAGAACTTTAAAGGGATTCTAATCACCTAAAAAGATTACATTTTCGGAGTATGAAAGTGACTTTTCCTACTTAGAGGTCTCTGCCTGCTTTGAAAAAGAAGCTAGATGGCTATTTAACCTTTGAAAATGGCTCTTCATCAAATGGAAAGTCTTACGTTTTACATTTTAAAAACCTTCATAATGAAATATTTTGGTGTCAGGGATGGAAACATTGAGAGCAACCTTTCAACCCAGGTTTTAAAGTGACGGAAAGTAGAAATTTGTGTGAGAACAAGCAAGGAAATCCAGACTTAGGCTTGGTTTCATCACAGGTTTTTATTAACAAAGATGAGAAGCCTGTTCCCAGCCCATTGCATGTTCCAACTATCATATCGTATTTATGTCGTGTTTTTACTCTCTTTCATGCTCTTCTAGGGCATCCGCATATTATAGCTTTGTGATACAGTAGCAATTCAGTTTAGATACTGTACAACAGGGATCATATACAGATTTTACAAACAAGAGCGCCATTCTGGTAACACATAGGCAAAGGAAAAAACTGGGAAACCCCGAAAAGAACATCTATGCAAATACAAAAACCTGTAAATAACCTACCTATAAACTGATCATTGCATCAATGATGAAACAATGCTTCTATGGTATTTAAATACTATCTATGAGATAGAGTGGTATTTCTTTTAGCAGTCCCCTGGCTTGTATAATTTAAATTTGGACCTTGTTTCTTGATCTAATTTAATATGGGAAAGTAATGTATACTCTGGATTCTACTCCTTCTGCAGTTCAGTCAAGCCTGGTCTGTATAATTTGCCCCTGTTAGAGGGGGAAGAACACATTACTGTGTGTGAGTGTACGCGTTTGTAGGGGAAATAGCTTCTGGTAAAGGCAGATCAAATTAAAGGCAGCTCCTACATTTCACTGTAGAAAACTTGATGGACTCCAAACTTGCACAGGTTTTCACTTTTTTCTTTTTTTCTTTTCTTTTCTTTTTTTTTTTTGAAGTAGACAGATGGCCACTTTGTTCTTTCCCTGCCCTACCCCTTTTCCTCAATATTGTTGATTGGTATTGGAATAATGAAAGATCACAGATACCACTTACAGATCTGCTTTTGAAAATGTTTTGAGGGTAGAAGTGTGATCTGATGATTTCTAGTGTCTGCAGGATTTAAATTGTATTATGTAGGTCTAAATTTAAGCTTTGAAAGTAGCTGATTCAGCTAAAATTACTGTGTTGTTTTTCTGTCTAAAAGAAAATGAACTTCTTTCAATATTCCTTTTTAGGTCACCTACTATGGCTGGAGGCCTATTTGCTATGGCTCGTGAGTACTTTAATGAACTTGGACAATACGATAGTGGCATGGACATCTGGGGAGGAGAAAATCTGGAAATATCTTTTCGGGTAATCTGGTTTTTATGTGTATTGGAGTATGAACCTCAGTGTCTGGCTGCTTCTCTTCCTTATATACAATTTCTTTAGCACTGGAAGCCATGTGCACACAGAAATTGGCAGTTTTGTTCCCAGGAAGGATGCCTTCAGTGCACAGTAACTGCCTTTACAATAATCATCAGTTAAGTTTTAACAGGAAGATTAAAGACAATTTTGGGCTCTGTAGTTAAATGTTTGTGGCTTTTTCTGTGTTTGGTGGAGCATTTTATAGTACCTATAGAGAAGCGTAAGAAAAGAATAATCATGCAAATTTCTGAAATTAGTTTATAAGCAATGTGTAATGGATTTCACAAGTCAGTTAAAAAGATGCATGGCTCACAGCAACATTGATAATAAATAAGCTTATTATATTTCCTTAGACACGTATGGGCTTTTCAGACACTTCAGCCTTCTTTTTGAGGGTCTGGAAATGTAAATATTTTATAACTGAATTAAGAGTCACATAGAGGAGTCAACTTCGTTGGTAAAAAAACCAAGAAAGTTGTAATCGGGAGATTCAAAAGTGATACTTCATTGGGCTTCCTATATTTTATCTCATCTTCTCTGTCATCCCACTGAAAGAAAAATGACTCTTTGTGCTCAATGTCATGTTTACCTCTTCACTTTTGTAGAGTGGATTCATCAATAGGTTTGACAAGAGTCTGCCTGAAAATGAGATGCTATCACGCAAAATATAAAAAGACGATTAAAAAGTGAAGTTAACATTAAAAAAAAACCCAACCCAAAACCAAACACACAACCCCCAAAACTTTAGAGAAATCTGTCAAATGGGGTCATTAGAGAAATCAAGACTAGAGCGCAAAAATAAGAACTGGCATTTCATAAATTTGGGTGACTTTAAAGTGTATGTACTGAATAAATAAAATATTTCAAGTTTTTAGTACAAAATATAATTATTGGATATCTGAGTAGAAGTGTATGGAGTTTTAGTAAATTATTGTTGTTACTGTGTAATACAGTGTCAGTAAAAAGGGCTTTGAAAAATGGGAGTATATTGAGAGAGCTTTATGAGGTCTTGAAACCCCCTCTCCCTGGGGGAGAGCTATAAAGAACTTGAGTCTTTACCTTATCCAGGAGGAGTTTTAAAAGTGACTTGATTATAAACTGCTAATGTGAGAAGATTTTTCTGAGGTTGTAGAACACATTAGTCCAACAAAGGGCCAATGATGATAATTTGCTGGAAGCTGAAGTTCAAAAAGAAATTTAAAAAAATAAATGGAAGCAGTGTGTAAGTGAAATCTAGATCTGGGGTGCAATGAAGCTGGATTAAGGCACCCAAATGTAGTATCTGAATGTGAACAGTATTTCTGAGTTCCCATATACGTAACAGAAATAAACAGCTGTGTAAAATAGGTGTTTATATTTAGTTGAAAAGCTCTCCAGGCTCTCTTGATGATACTGACTGATCTTCATTATCTACAGTGGAAGTGTGGACATTGAATTCTCATCTAGACAAATAAATTTAGATATCTTAATCTGCAAATTGAATCTCAGCCCATGTGTTTCAGTGTTTTCTAACAGGTCATTAGAGCATAAAATTTTAGAACATTTACTGTTTGTTTTTTGAAAACCATGGTGTGTTTTGTGGAAAGAGTGATGATATGACAAAAATAGTCTTTTGTAACCTGAAGATTTATTAATTTAACTTGTCAGAAAGCATGCTATTGCTGACACCTAATCGCATCATCGTGTATAAACCTACCTAAGTATCCTTTGAAGAAGAGAAGGAGGTAGTGTGCCTTGTCATACATACAATGAGGTGTTATTCTGGTTTTGTATGGACAGATCTGGATGTGTGGTGGTAGACTTCTCATCATCCCCTGCTCCAGGGTGGGACACATTTTCCGTAAAAGGCGTCCCTATGGCTCACCAGGGGGACAGGACACTATGGCTCATAACTCCCTGAGGCTGGCACATGTGTGGATGGATGAATATAAGGTAAGAGTCGATTCTCGGTCGTGAAATAATGTTCTTAACTGCTTGTTGTTTGAAGGACTGTATCACAGTGGGTCTGTTAGCACCTCTAGTGGGGTCTTCCTTCTGTAGTCTGATTTCCTGTTGTTAATTTTGATACGAATTCCTAAATTCTGTAGGATTGTGGTTTGGCTCTTGAGTCTACTCCATGTTACTTGTGCTGCCTGCTGGAGACTGTTTTACAGCTTTTTAATGAAGTAAAAGATGACAAATGAGTTCTTGTAGGCTCTGCACTGCTTTGTGTTCAAATCAGTATTACGTGGGGGCCATATACAACTTGTTGTATGCTTTCAGGCCTTTCCGTGTTGGTGAGACAGGGATTTTGTTGGTTGGTTGGTTGTTTTCTGTTTTAATTAGCAGTCTCATTCTTAGTCTGTCTTGCCCTGAAAGACCGATCAGGATTGACTTCTGGATTCAAGGGCAAGTGTATTCCTTCTTTGTCTTCAGATCTTGGTACTGATGGTTTTATGTGTAGATCAAGTTTTTGTGAAGCCCTGATCTCTGATACTTGAGGACATTTTGGCTTGTGAGACCTTAGGATTTGGTGTGTGGCCAGCTCCTGTGGTCCCTACAATTTCTATGAGAGACATATTTTATTAACTCTGTATTCTGTAGATGTTTATGTTTCAAACCCCATCCTTTAATCTTGATGTTCAGTCAGTTTGAGGAACCTATTAGGGGTCATTAATTTTTATCTCCATTTTCCATCTCCATAATGCATTCTATCACTTTCCTTTGTATTGGTGTCTGGGCACGGTTGTTTTGTGATTAATGATGGCTTTCTCTGAAGCTTGGAATTGATTTGTTTGTTATTATTTCCAGCTAATACTACTTTGTCCAGCAAGGACAAACTGCTGATTCTAGCAGTCTCTTACAACAGATTTGTGTCCTGAACATTTCCAGCTGTTTCTAATCTAATTCTCTGATAGTGCCAGAGTCTGTCATTATGACAGATTTATGTATGGAAGGCAAGCCTGGAAATATTCTTGTTTTTATAAGTGTAATGCAAAAATTTAGGGCCACTATAATTTACTGAAGTGATTGTATGATGCACAGTACAAAGATGAGACTTGAAGGACCTGTTTTGCAGCAAGGACCAGATACCAATATCTAGTAAATAAAATTGCATAATGGAAGGGAAACAGCAAGATTTTCGTAACTGTCAAAAGCAAAATGTAAAAGAAGTAAGTTCATGTATACAGTGGAAATAAATAATGCAGAAAAGATAGGATACTAAAATTTGAACTTTAATCAGGAAAGAGGCAATTGGAGTAGCAGAGCTACTTTTTTGAAGCAGACCAATTTCTGATAGTGATGTCCAGCCTATCTCCAAACTTCCCAGAGCTGTCCAACAGTCCAATGTACGTAATGCTTCCCCTTCCTCTACTATTAAAATAGCAGCGATGCATCAAGCGCATCCAAATGCTCAAAGATTTTGATATGGACGGATATGTAATTTGTCTTGAGATAATGCTGTCTGTCATCTGAATATCAGAGATAGCAGTAAGTAATTGAAAACTGTCAGAACCACATTATGGTAAGTAAATTCCAGATGTCTACAAGTAAATACCATAGATCGGTGCCCTGAAAACTGATTTCTAAGTAATATCTAGTAAACGACTTAATGTGTGAATACAATGCCTTTTTTATGAGCTTTGTAAATCTAGCTGGAATTAAAGACTCTACAAGAGGATTTTTCTTCTAGTTTTGGTAATAGTATTCATGCCACATTGTACATTCATGAATTCGTGTTTGCGTCATTGTCCCTGCATTAGAGTTGAACAGCCCATAAGACTGAGCTGGAATCTTAATCTGTCCTTGCCTAATCAGGTACAATTGAGTATAATCATAAATTAGAACATGAAAAAATAACATTGTGGGAGCCTTTCTGGAGATGATGCAGATGAATGGGAAAAACTGGGCTTCACAAGAAAGCTGACAGTTTTGATTCTTCATGTGAATTAATTGCATGGTCCCACTGAACTTCACAAGATGGTTCCATTCATAGATTTATTCTGATACGGAATTTTTTTGCCCTGGTAACTTGTAAAGTTAGAAGGCTGGAAACTGTGAAAGAGAAAATACACTTGAACCCCACAACAATGAAAACAATCAACTGGACAATCAAACTAATTTAAAGAAACCTTTGCCAGGTGAGGATGATGATCATATACACATCTGATTCTGATTTAATGACTCTAGGATGCCTTTATTGCCAATGGAGCATAGGGCTGATTTGTTTCCTCCTCAGGTTGGCATCTAAAAAAGGTCAGCAGATTCATGCCTGAGAAGTGTCTTCATGAGAAAAGCAGTCTAGAAAGATTAGCTCAGAGTTAGGCAAGATAAATCTCACCACCTCTGGCAATATAAACACTGGAATTTCCTAATGCCAGTTAAAAGCATTAGCAAAATGAAGTGAAACTTTGGGAGTTCAGCAAACAGGAAAAAGTTGGAAATCAGTAATCTGAAATTCTTCTTCCCTTGCCCCCAACCTGTTTCTCTTAAATACAGGAGCAGTATTTTGCTTTGAGACCCGAGCTAAGGATGAGGAACTATGGAAACATTACCGACCGTGTAGAATTGAGAAAAAGATTGAACTGCAAGTCATTTAAGTGGTATTTAGATAATATCTATCCTGAGATGCAAATATCTGGGCCCAATGCCAAAGCTGCGCAGCCAGTTTTTATTAATAGAGCACAGAAACGACCGAAAATAATCCAGCGTGGAAGGGTAAGATGAATTTTCTTCAAAATATAGAATTCTGTTTTTTTAGTTATTTTGAGATTCTTTCTGAAAGATTTGCTCAAACACAAGAAAAATAGTCTGTTTCCACAGAGCAGAGATTTGTAGTTTTGGAACAAGCCATGTTGAAAAATAACGGAATTTGTGTCTTTTTAGACAGGCAAATCAGTTTCACTCTGATCTATATTTCAGGTCAACAGACTAGATACTATTCAATGAGGTTTCTTACTTTAAAGCTCTGAGTTATGAAGTTTTGATGTCTTTAGAATGCGCTTTCATGGCTGTTGGTTCTGAAGATGGATTTGGATAGAGAGAAATTTGGCCTCAAATATTCATGCTCTGTTGGCTTACGATAAGAGTACAATGTAATTAGTTTCCAAACTCATTGCTTTTACTGGATAATTTTCTGCAAAGATGAACATTTGCATCTGAGACTGATGATGGCTTTTCTAGTCTTGACTGTTAGATAATGAACAGAAAATGAGTTTTGCTCTTTTTTCTTCAAAGTAAAAGTGAAGAGATAAATTTTCACATGTATTCATGAAGGAGATCATGATTAAATTCATGCCTTAGCTCTGACACGTATGTTTATGGGTTTGTATGCAGGCAAAGCCAGCACACAGTTGCATCTGTTCTCTCCAGTGCCAGATTAGTCTGATGTGTGCTTTTTATGCTTCCCAAAATAATGGATAACTTCAAACCCGAGACAACTTTCTCAAGGTCTTCTCTGTGAAAAAGAAGACATTTGAATAAACTATCGCATGTGCACATAGATTATGGTTAGCAGATTCCCTTCTAGCTCAATAATTGGAAGCATTAAATAGCCATGTAGCCTTCTCCACAAGGTAACACAGGCTGCAGTAGCTGTTGACAGTTGCTGGTCCTACACATAGGTTCAGGCTGGAGGACCTGAGTTCGTGCAGAACCTATTGACATCATTAGATTTTTGCTTGGAAGTAGCTATCTGGGAATCCACAATTTGTGCAGTATTTTTATAATAGTATCCCAGCCAAGCTGTAAAGTTAGTTATTAGGGCAAACATGTAGTTTCTCTGAATAAAACTGATACAATGGGCTGATTCCCCTAGTTGTTAAATGCTGTTATTCCCCTAGTCAGGTGTGGACCACTCCCCTTAAATTTAATAGATTTCTGCTTTCATTCAGACAGAAGTTTAACTAAGGAATTCCTGATGTGGGGGCGGGATCTGAATCCCTCAACAACACGTAAGGAGAAATCTTCCTAGCAATTATTTCGCATGGTTTAATTTGGAGAAAAACTTTTAAGAAGGGGGAGACAAGACACAGAAAATGCAGTTCCTTAGCTTGGTTCTCTGGGGTTCAAAAATTATACCCAGCATTATGTGGGAGAGTCAACCTTGGCTCTGATGATTGTATAAATGATTTCCAGATGCCTACAAGGAACAGAACGATCAGCCAATGTCACCACTGTGTGCCAGACTCTCTTTAGGATTTGGGATGAATCACTCCAAATCCCAGCTTATTCTCAAAAACTAATTGGGCCAGAGATAAGTGCCTGGTTTGACAGCTGGGAAGAACTGTAATGATCACAAATTGTGACAGTTCTTAACAGCGTTATCAAATGCTGATCTTCATGGCCAATAAAAACAACGATGAAAATCATACAAAGCTCATGTAGCTGTATGGTTTGAAAGTTTTCTGTTGAATGAGGAATGATAAAAATGAGATCTCTCCTAGAAGTCTCTGGGGTGTGAGGAAATGTTACTTAGAAGGTTTTGTGTAATTCGTTTCAGATGTGTGTAGGG